TTGTTTTAACAGAAATTTCTTCTAATACGTTTTTACCTGTCGGTGACTTTAGTTTGGGCAGAAAAGAATTAACTCTCCTTCTCACCTCAACGTATGTCAGTGAACTAATCCGAATGAAACGGTGGTTTGTGTGACTGCAAAGTAAGGAGCAGGCAGTGATGCCTACTAAAATAATGCAGTTTGAGGTGGTCTAATCTCTTGTCCTACCAAATGCATAGGAATGAGATTAGATTAATTGAAATATGTACTTTTAACAGTTTCAATTTCAGGTAAGAGTAGCTATTATGGCACAAAAGTTATAAAACTTCAACATTTTCACTGTCATTTTTATTTGGACACACTCAGCAGTCGGTTTCTCTTATGTCTATGGTTTAAATCTCAATTTGTAGTCACCAAACTATAGTATTTACATGGTAATGAATGTTTTCATTTTTGATGCGCATTTAAAATTGTCAGTTGTCATGACCTGATTAAAATGATTACATCTGTCTACTGGAAAGAAGCAATTGATTTGACAATGCCTACAACATCAGTCCTTATCAAGTAGGAGACAATTGTCCTTATACACTAGGACAGAATAATTGAAAATGTCATATTTGGCTGCAATTTTTCAATTAGTTGGGGTAGTTACTCCAGTAAAATATATGTGGTTTATGAGGGGAATAAAGCTATGTAGGGTGTTTTCTGTTGTTGCTGCACTGCCCTTTTTCTGCTCCTCCTCCAATATCCAACACGATAATTTCTCAGAGGAAGAGATAAGCCGTAAGAGCGACTTCCTCTGCCGCTCCCTTTTCCACATCGGAAACCTGCGGGATTACGAGGGAGTGACTTAGTCAAATCTGATTCACAGATATTTGATTTTTAATTTATTTAGTCTTGGTGAAGGCGCCAAGCTGTTAGCTTTGGGAACTAAACCACACTGTGTCTGTAAGCAGACCTTGTGCTCGCCCGCACCGTGGGGACCGATGTATTGTAGGACCTATATGGTGAAAAGCCAGGGACTGAGCAGATTTCAAGGCTGTGCTGGCAGGATATTAGCTGTAGCTTAGGGTCTAGCATATTGTGTGGCAGGGAAGGAGGAAGAGGAAATGCAGAAGGATGTTTAAGGCAACCTTTAGATAACAGCCTTGCCGAGTTGCCCAGTTTTTGTCAGAGATGGCTGTGCTCTCTCTTAAGGGTGTGTGTCCATTCGGTGGTTTATGGGTACAGAATCTCCACCAAATCATGCAGGTGCCTTTCTGTGAATGTATAGTTTTACTTTGACAGTAAGCTTTGAGGGGCTGGGGAAAGATGGAGTGACACTTCAGTGGGTTTTGGAGGGGAACTATACATCCCGGTGAGTTTTACTTTCCCATCAGTTTGAGCCGATCAAGACTTCTGTTTGTAACTAAGCAAAGTCAGTCAGGGGAAAAAACAGGCTTGATTTAATCAGGAGCCAAGTACATTGACCTCAGATTATGCAGGAAAAAAGTAAATCAACTTGGTAATGGAGCAGTCTGTTTATGCACATTGGTGTGCTATACTGTGGGAAGGTTAAATCTCAGGGCACTGAAGCCATCAGCATTCATTCACCAAATTTTGTTCAGTGTGTAAAAAATTTAAGAGGCTTTCTTGTTGCCAAAACAGTGTGTATTTTATTGGAACAGTTGAAACAGATCCTAATAATTTGAAAACCTTTGTGTTTCAGAACAAATTAAACACTGATGGTGTTGTGCAGATGGTGGCAATGATGGGTTTTTGTCCTCGCCCTCCATCACTTGGGGTTTCCTCTCTTTTCCATGGGTGGCTGTACACTTCTGCAGAGAAGTGTCGGGGACAGGAGAGGGGACAGCAGCTGCTGGGAATCACCGGTAATGTTTTGCGAGAAACTGTAAAGAAAGAAACAATGAAAAGCAGAAAAGTCATAAAGGAGAGATGGCCAGATTTGAGAGCTTTGTTTAAAATGGACTGTTTATTTTCAGAGGAGCACTTCAGCAATGCCTGAGGCATTGCAACCCACTGGGTTGGTAGTGTAAGAGCCAAGCGGGTGCCATAGCAGACTCTGCTAACGGGAGGGGGGTACCAGCCCAGGCAGAAGTAAGGGAAGCGGGGAGAAATGTTGCCCTAAATTTATGGACTAAATGCTGGGTGCCCTAAATCTATGGACTAAATGCTCGGTAGAGCTGTACCTGCAGCTTGGTTGAGCTGCAGTTTTAGACTCCTATACCAAGGGAAAGGAGTTTTTACTGTAAAGCCACCCTGTGTTATAATATCTTAAAATTGGAATCCTTTGTTTGACTTGCTGCCTGTTTGAGTTGTGAATCACTGTTTCTTCTGGTCGTTAGTGAAACAAAACTTAATTTGGCCTGGACACTGTGGAGATGAAACACGATTGGTAATGCTGTATACATTTGCTTCAGATGACTTTATAAATCCCAGATGAAATCATTTTGCTTCATTCCAGCCAAGGCGGAGCGTGGCGTGTGCTCTGTAACGAGAGTCAGCCTCGCTGGTTGTTGGATGAGGCCCTGCATAACCCTCATCTGAAAGAATATGATTTCATGACAGCGGGTAAACTGTGGATTTTGAGCTGTTCATTTGCTTAGCTCATTAATTCATTAATTCTTTCTTGTTTATGCTCACAGTGGAGAGTTTTAGAAAGTTCTTCCCCCCAAAAATCCAATTACTGCTAGGTGACGACTTGTCTGATTGCCCATCCTCTGAGAGATGTGTAATGAGTTCTCAAACTTGAACTGAAATCATATAAATATTTAACCTTAAAAAGGCCATTTTTCCTTTCGGCTCTTAGCAAACCCAGGTATTCATCAGACTGAATTGAAGATGGAATTTTCAGTGACATAGAAACCCTTCCCTCTCAGCTGTTCTCTCCTTAATGTTTGTCACATTGATTAAGTGGTAGCCATCATCTTATGAGATAGGAAGGATGGGTTTTTCGGTGAGCATATCAATGATTTTAACCATAAAGCAGCAATGTTAGAGACACAGAAAATCCAATTATACCTTTTTCTTTCTTTTAAAGTCACCCTTTCTTCTGTCTTTTAGTTCTAAGTTGTCCATATTTTAAGTTTTCCGTGCGGTGGTATGCTTTTGCTACAGAGCAGTGTGAAATGTTGAGAGTCACTAGTTCTCTGTGTCAAGTTGAACGTGTCCTGGAAAGTTAAATTTTTGATTCTTTTCTGGGGAGCTCTGGACTTGAAGCGCAGTATTTTTAATAGCGATTACACGAGAGGGATGCCAAGACAGCAACGCAGAGGCACTTTTAACAGGATTTCTGTCCTCGTCCTTCATGTTTCCTAGGCAGGCAAAAGGCAGAGAGCCGGCTTGACAAGTGGGAGAACCACTGTTAACTCTTGGCGGGGTCAGCTGCCTGTCGGCCGCAGCCCTGCCGGGGGGTCCGCAGGCAGCCCCCCAGCCCCGCTCCTGGCAAGGATGCTACGCAGATTTCGAGTTTGGAAGCTGGAAGGAATTAGGGAAGGAATCTCTCCCTGAGGTGGAAGACCCAGTGGGGTAAATGTTTCATGTCAACGAAATGACCTGTTGAGCATGAAACTTGGATTGAAAAGCTGTATCTGCTGTCCAGGCTGTTTCCCGCCATCTGCTCTGGAGAATTTCAGTCCTGTAGTGCTGGAGAGGGCAGGCGTGGCGGGTGAGTCCCCTCGGGAGGTTCAGGGGCTCCTTCCTCACCCTGGCTCCTTGGAGAGCAGGACCGATTTCGGGGAGCGGTAGCTTTTGGAGGAGGCTGTCGCGGCGAGGCCCGCCTCATGCTGTAGTGAGGTGCCTGGTAGGGTGGAAAACCCTCTCCTTGGGGGTGAGAAATGAGCTCTGCAGAGAAAGGAAAAGCTCTGCCAGGTGGCACCGGTGGAGGGGGGGATTCCTGGGGGAGCAGAGGGGAGGGACAAGGCCTGGTCCCCCCCCATGGGAGAGCAACCTTGCGGAGGGCAGGTGAAGGAGAAGCTGGAGGTGAAGGACCCTGCCTCGGCAGGGATTAGCAGCCAGCTCCCTTCTCCCGGGGCTTTCCTCCCGGGAGGAGAACGTGAAAAAGCATGGCACGAAAAGTCTGTGCCACAGAGACTCGAAACGTCGTGGCTGTGATGACTGCGGTTAATTAAATAGGTGGCTCGTCCCTAGACAGCCCCAGACATCTGTCTCCATTCTTCACTTGTTTTTCTGCTGCGTTTCTATTTGCTTGTCCAGAGTTAAAGCCCAGAGGACCTACAGATGGTCACCATTAATTTTGTCACTCGATGCAATTTTTTTTTTAAAGCTTTTTTGTCGACCTTTTAAAAACAGATGTGTGCATAAAAAAATAAACAAACCTTTTAATAGAGCAACTCACCAGAGATCTTCTGTTTGAATTTAGATTTAATTTTAATCTTTAGTGGCTGGGATTTAATTTTGGTATTTCTTTTAAACCAAACTTCTCTTGTAGCCATATCAATTTATTATTTTCTTTTTTTTTTTTAAAATAAACTCTAAAGAGTCTCTTTGCATTCCTAATCTGGCTTCTTTAGAACCTCGGAAATCATTGCATGACAAAACATTTTCTGTGTTTTGGATCACATACCTGGTTTTGCATAGGTTTCTTCGTGATCGCAGGATGCTGGTGTTGCGTGGGCTTTCAAAAATAAAATCTTCAGCAGAAAAGTCCAACTTTGTTAATGATTTCTTCAGGAAGCCACAGGATAGCAGACAAAACTCAGGAGCTGTGTCTAGTAACTGCCTGGACAGAGTCAGGATCATAGGTAATAGCCGATTATTAAATTAAATTATATGGACTTTGAACTGATAAAGGATCTGCAGACAGTTTTTTTCACAGTCTCCGCATTAAACATGGAGTGCCTTTTCCAAATATCTATCTTTTAACGTATTTCTTTTTGAGTTGTCTCTGGAAATTTTGCTGTAAGAAAAGCCAATTTTGGTGTATATTATATACTTGAAAAATGTTCTCAGAATATACTTCTTAACACAACATTTTTTCTTTTTTTTTTACTTCATTTGCAGCTCAAAATTTGTCTGAGTCACTCAAATTAGCTTTGTTTTACCCATCCTGTAGAAGACAAACATGATGCCGAACAGAAGTAACCTCTCCTCCTTTCAGAATGTTGGATCAGGTAATCAATAAAAAAATGAAGTTTATTTGTAAATGTATGGAGATCTTTCAGAATTTGTTATTGATTTTTCGATCCTTCAGTTCTCCTGACACATGGATAAGATCAGTGCTCTGTTCTTATTCCGTGTCTAACTCCATTTACCAGCTAAAATAAGGCCACAGCTGGATACACTGCAACCAGCCAACCCTCCCCCATCAGTTTAATGGCTGGCTGGAATAGATATCAGTGACCCCCAGCTAAAAAAAAACTTGGGAAAGGAAGAAAAGGAATGGGGGGGGGGAAGAAAAGGAAAACAAAAAAAGGAAGAATTTCCTTCTGTGTAGCTCCAGGCAGCAAATGCTTTGCTAAACAGAGGAGCTTTGCGCTGCATGCTGAAGATTACCAAGCAAAAGCTGGGACTGACCTGGGTGCAGGCTGGGTTCAGGGCACGTGAAGGCATCATCAGCCAGGATGTGTAATGCATCCTGGACTGTTCATAAAGTTTCATCCCAAACATTACCTAAAAATAAACAAAACAAACAAGATCTGGTTTATGGGAAGCAGTTACAGTTCAGCGAAACCTGTGCTGTTGTCCAGTCGGGATTTAACCCTATGATTGAGGGCACTGTTGTGCTGGAACCAAAAGCGCAGAAGAACTGGCATAAGGTATAGTAGAGAAAAGTTGAATCCGAGTGGCTACACGAAGGTATTATGACCATTTATTTTTTTTTACTGTACTTGTTTGGATTCAAGTACAATGAACCCTTCATTGCTGTGGGGAACAGGCCTGAAAGTTTCCATGAGCTAAATTGTTTTTTGGCAAAAGCATCGAGTCTTTGTAGGATTAAATGTGCCCTACTGGTGTTGCAAGGGAGTAATAAACAATTATTAATGTCCCATTAATGTGTCTGCTAAGCTATTTATATAGGAGTCAGTGGAATTTATGCAAAAACATTTGAACTTCAGCTGTGTTCAAGTTATGATTTGGACAGTACAATTTTGATACGAGATTACCTTTCAGTTTTAAGAGAGATTTGGAAGAGGGAAGGAGAAAGAGAGACGAGGATGGAAATTAGGTTCTGTTCCACAATGGAAGGCTAAGTATACGAGGCGTGTACATTGTGCTTTATATCTGTGCTCTTAAATAACTTTTACATCTTGTTCTTTTCTTGTGTAACACCACTAATATGATCAATGCTTGATCTTTTCCAGAGGATTTTTGTCTTGTCCTGACGAGAGTTCTGTTGAACGTGGGTCCTGTTCCTTCTTTTGTTCATTTGAATGTCATCATTGCTATTGATCAAAAGTTGTGAAAATTGCTAAAAAAAGTCAAGTAAAATGTCAAATTATAAGAAACTGCAGTTTCACTGCTCACAGTAGTGATGGTCTGATGGAGAGCTCTGTGAACTTACTGGTTCAAAGGCGACTTAGATAGTTGTATCATCATAACAAACATGTCAAAATTACAGCAAATAAAATCACAGTCAGCATTAAAATATTAAATTCTGTGTAGTACTAAACCTGATGCTTGGTTTTGAAGCTGCAATTTTATGTTTTTGGCCAGTACCGGAGATTGTAATTAACACGTGCTTAGCCCACTATGCTCAAGAAGGTGTTTGATTTTTTTGTTTTGTTTTGTTTCTTTGTTCCCCCACCGGTAATGCTGACTCCTTTTATCTTCTGCCTATTCAATTACATTATTAATGATGATTACCTTTGTTCTTAAACCTAAAGGTTTGTTCCTTAAGAATTGAGGAGAATGTGTTCTTACTCACTTAGACTCACCACAGTTTGCATGCAACAGAGGTCTGTTGAATGGTGCCCTGGACAGTAATAAATTCCAGTTTTTTTTGCCTTGTTAGCAAGGAAGGTCCCAGAAATGAGGACCTGCTCAAAGAATGCATTGCCACCTTCCCCTAGATATCTCAACCTAGTGATCCTTGATGAACCCGGATCATGTCAGCTCTGGTGAGGGGCGGGAATCCAAGTTTTGTGTCTAGGCTCATATAATTGTCTGAAGTAGTACTTCGAAGAGGATTAAAGTATTGCCTCCAAGGATTTTAAAGGCACTTTGCAGGTTTGGATGTTAGGTTTTCCTACTGAGTGACAAGCTGAAATTACATTTCTCGTGAGGTGGCTGAAGTCACAGGTGAAATGTGACTGAGCTAAGAGTAAATCCCAGATTTGACTCTTGTTTTCAGAAGCAACGCTCGCTGGCATTGCAGGAACTGATACTGAAGAGTGCTTTATTAGTTTGAAGCACAGCCTAGCGCATCTGAGGAGCTGCTGCTGCTGTAATTGTTAATGGTGCCATTCCTACATCAGCTGAGGTCTAAGTGGAAGCCTGCTTATCTCCTGCAGTGACCGACACTGTCAGGAACTGAGTTTCTTTCTTTGCTTTCAGCAAAGTGGAGCTCAGAACTGTAGGCTGGAGCTTGACGCATCATTGAACAATAACATCCACCGCAGCAAAGGCTTTTTTGGCCTGTGTCTTCTTCCAGAATATAGATTATAATTCTGAACAAGTGTTAGGACCTGGAAACTTAAACTCCTGTCAGTGTTTTTAATGGTCATGTGTTTTTGTTGCTGTTTTGAATGAAGTCATGGAGCTTATGAAGTCATTATACTTCCTTAAGGCTGTCTTTTAACTAAAGTGCTCTTTGCAGATGTAGTTACAGCTTTGTATGTTAAGAGCACTGAGCTGAAACACCTTGAAAAACGGGCCTCGGTTTTGTACTTTTCCATGAAATTTTGCATGACAAACCACAGAGTTAGCAGGAAGGTGACAAACTCCTAGCGAGCTTTGAATTGAGCTCGTTAGTACATTGGGGCTGGGATGCACTAGCTGCACAGGTTAAAAGAAGAGGTGGTCCCGAGCAGTGCCTTATGTTCTATATGCTGAGCCCTGGGAGACCTGCATTCAGGTCTTTGCTGCCTGCTTTGTGTCTTCTCCCTGCACCTCAGTTCCTCAGCTGTAAAACATCAGGACAGTAATGCTTCCTTGCTTAATGAACATCTTAGGAGACTCAGGATTATAAAGGCTGAGCCATAGACTCCTGCAATGGATAGGACACTGAAGAAAGAGTCTAGCCTCTTTCCAACTGTGTTGCTGATTTTTAGTATGAATTTGATGATGTCCCTTTACCCCTTGTTTTTCAGTCTTAATTTTTTGTAAAAACAGAGATGGGAAAGTTTTGCATCCCTCCTTTGCTTAATGATCTGAGACACATTTATTACAAGCACAGTAATTATTACAAAAACTGTTCTTTTCAAGTTAATGTGCAGGCATGCACATGCAAGAGGCTATGTACTTGCTAAAACCTTTTTTTTCTTGTATTTGCTTCCTTACAGATTCCAGCAAGATTATGGCAGAGTATAGCCACACACAAAACCAGATGGAATTACAAAATGCTGGTTTGGGAAAGGGTTCTGTGGCGAGTTCCCTTGAAAATGGTCTCCAGGATATTATGGAAAACCTCAATCCGAAGAAATATTCATCAAGTCTCAAATTTAAAACAAACGGGGACTATGCTGGCTCGTATTTAACCCTTTCACAACCTATGCCAGTTAAACCTAATCCTTCCTCCAGTGTTAAAAATACACACTCTATTACCAAAATTCAAGGAGGCAAGCAGTTCCCCTGTGAAAGCCCGTATCTTCCAGACAAAAGCATCTCTGTAAAGCATTTGGGTTCCATATCGGGCACGCCTTCATCCCTCAGTGGGTACGGTTTAGGAAGGACAGACTTTGATATTCATGCCAGCAGAGAAAATGAAAAATCCCTTGGACACGTGGATAAGTTTCACTACTCAAAGTACAGTCAGAAAAACAAATCGTACGATAATGTCTACTTGCCAGGAATGCTGGAGACGAAGAAGATCTCGGGCTCTCTTCTGACGATGTGGAATGGAAGCTCGGGGAGCGAGCTGATGCTTTCACCTGCTAGCAATTCTGGGGCGGCCAGCATGCCTTCTAGCCCAAAGCAGGGCAGGAGGATGAATATCGAAGAGAGCCTGGCCCTTCATGTAAAACCAGTTAAGCACAAGGATGTCATGATGGAGGCTCTGGGTTCACGGCCTAGGAAATACTCTGGTGGATCTCTAAGTCATATGGGAATGTACAGTCGTTCCCTGCCTAGACTTTATAAATCAACAGAAAGCCAGCTGGTGCCGTTAAGTTTGCCCCCCAGAAGCTCTCTGGGTAATACTAAAAGGAAAAAACTTGGAGAAAAAGATCTACCTCAGAATGCTTTAGATGCTGATAATTACCTGAATTTTTCTTCTTGCAGCTCAGGGGTTTCACCACATGCAAACTCTGGGAATAATCCCTATGTCAATTCAACTCTTAGTGTTCCTGCAAGCCCTCGAATTGCTAAAAAAATGCTTTTAGCACCTTCCTCCCCATATCTTTCTGATGATTTCGATAGACTTGGACTCTCAGGAACAAGTCCCAGTAGTTCTTTCTCCCCAGTGGATTTTGACAGGTTGTTCTCTGTCCGAAGAAACCTTTCCACCAGTTCCATGGAACTTGACGACCCAGATCTGGAAAGTTACAGACAGACACCAAACTCACTGCAGACATCCATGCGAGAGCGGAAGAACAGCATTAGCTCCATTTCGGGAAGAGAAGACCTCATGGACTATCACAGGAGGCAGAGGGAGGAGCGGCTTCGAGAGCAGGAGATGGAACGGCTGGTAATTTTTTCTCTTCCTCTTAGTTTTTTGGTGGCAGTTAGCATTTGCAAAGTGTCCATCCCAGATCTAACCATCAGGAGGGTACAGGAAAGCATAAGCTACCGTATCTTGAAATTCAAATGTTGCCTGCTTCAGATGCCTTGTTTGTTATCGCAGTCCATGAAGCCAATGCTTAAATAGCGTGCTGCTGTAACAGCTCGGATAGACAGTACCATTCAGCCATCTTACAAAAATGTGGGAAACCATGTAAATTATGTTCAGTCATCCCGTGGGCGCTGTTAAAATGTGTACGTACATAAAACCCACAAATTACACTGCAGAGATCCAGCACTTTTTATTTGAGATGATGGCACTGTTTTGTGGTAAGTAGGTAAAAAAAAAAAAAAAAAGACTCTGCTATAAGCTGCTCAGCTGTGCGTGCTGCGGAGTCAGGTATGCATTGGTTTGAGTTCAGCATCTATCATCAGAGCTTTCCCTGCTTGGTTGTGGTTTTTCCTTCTGAGTATTTTCATTAAAATATAGGCCTCCTTGCTTCTCTCCCTCCCAAAATTGAGAGTAGCAGAGGGGGATAGAGTTTCTTTCTTTGCCTCTAGTCAACCTAAAGCAGTACATACTGCTTAATCTTGGGATTAAACTTGGTAGTAAAATGTGATGTATGTATTATGGAAACAACTTTTGGGTAGGAAAAAACCCCAGGTCTTCAGAACACACGAAGGTGGTTGAAACAGTTTCTTGTCAAAACTGTCTCTGAAAGGATACTAGTATTTCTTTGAAAAAAATTTTCTCAGTGGCTGCAAGAGTCTCCAACCATATTAACGTGTGTTGATATTGTATGGATTTCGTTGTCCACATAGAAACTGAGGCCATTAGATGGGCCAGTTTGAATTACTGAGTCTTAGATTTGAGACAGTAACTTTACATTTGTGTGCTTTAATTAAAAATCTTTATGGATCTGAGCAAAATGGGGATAGGATACTCTTACAGACCTTAAAGCCCATCCAGTTCCAATCCCGTGCCATGGGCAGGGACACCTCCCACCAGACCAGGTTGCTCAAAGCCCCATCCAACCTGGCCTTGAACGCTTTCAGGGATGGGGCATCCACAGCTTCTCTGGGAAACCTGTGCCAGTGCCTCACTACCCTCACCGTGAAGAATTTCTTCCCAATATCTAATCTAAATCTTCCCTCTTCCAGTTTAAAGCCATCTTAAGGCCTCTTAACCCAGTCTAGTTTGCATACAGACAGCGAGCCTGCAGGGGAGTTCACCTCCTGGGGAGGTGGGATGCAGGAACAGTGGGATGATGCAGGTGCAGGGGCTGTCCGACAGGGACATTTCGAGCCGCACCTGCGAGCAGGTTCAGCTGAAGGATTGTAACCCGTCCAGATGTCTCCCTCCAATCTCACCTATGTCCTTGACTCAGGTTGGTGAAGAACCTGTTATGCGGGCAGGAGCCTGCCTTTTCACCCCGATCTGCTTGGCACTCTGGTCTGTAAGATACGCGCTGTTGGTTTACAAGATGTGAAAACGTTTGTCTTTGCCAGCTCAGAGCCAGGGCTGTAGGGCAGAGGGGTGGGTGTGAGGGGATGGCAGGCAATGTGCCTCTCCCCCCTCGGTGAGTGGCAGGGCATGCATGCCCCTACCCTGCCTTGCCCCTTTTGCCCCCGAAAACCTTTGCTGGTTCCCCTTGAAGCTGTGGCTTCTTGGGGTTAGGAGGCTCAGCTGTGAGTGGAAAGGACCGGGCGGCTTAGGAAAGGTTGTTAGGCTTGCGTGCGCAACAGTGGGAAGCACCAACAGAAATGCTGGTGGGTTGTTTCTTTCTCTTCTTGCTGCCTTCTTCCTGCCATTCCTCCACTCCTTTCAGAAATCTCCTCCCTTGTCCTGGTGTTTTGTGTGTGCAAAGGAGTGTTTGCTTCTTATCAGAGGGTTTTCCAGACAGTCATGCTGTAAAACCTGAGATAATCAGTCATAAAAGACAACGTAGAGCGTATTTGTATTTCAAAGAGAACAGGTTGGGTTTGTTTTTTGTTTTTTTGTGGTGAGGAATGGAAGATACGGGGTTGCTTCAATATTCAATAATGCTAAAAATTGTTTTGGTGTATTTATATATATTTGGATGTAACGACTACATTCTGTGCCCCCCACCGTTTCTTTTCTTGCTGGACAGTACTTCCTTCAAGTCCCAATCCCTTAAAAAGATAATTTGCCTACTGTTTTTCCAAGTATGTTAAAATTTTTGAAAAAATGTGATACGTTGTGTGTTGCATGTAATTTGAACGTGAACAAACTTCCTCTTGCTTGAGTTCATCTTCTCTTCAGGATCCTGTTCAATATTTTTTTTTCCCCTTGTTAAAGCTATCTGGTAGAAGAGTTGAACATCAGGAGCGTGCCTCCTTCTCATGGTTTGAGAGTCTGAAAAATGCCATAAATAGGTTTTTAGATCTCTGAGAAGGAATATATTTTAAAAAAAAAAAGAAGAATCCACACATCAGCTCTGTGTACATTAGGGCCTGTCCTGTTTTGGTTTTGTTTTATTTTTGTCCTTCTATGTGGATCCAGTCATGGGTCTATCCAAACAGGATCTTTATATATCCAGCCTAAACTTCCAAGGAGCAGTTTTGTCTGACCTTGTGTACCGTGAGATGAACAAAGCTGAGAGATGCAGGTCTGCTCAGGTCTCTCTTTTTTTGGGTGGATGGGGGAAAATGTGAATAAAACCCCCCCAACTAAACAAGCACCCATGGATAGCAAAACTGTGCACTTTGGCTTTTCAGTGCTGGGTAGAAGTTCAGATTGAGTAGCTGGTAGGTAAATGCCAGGGGAAACACAGTTCCCTTATGCACAAATGTCAGACTCTTCCATATTGTGTTTTTGAAGGCAGAAGAAAACTGTAGAGCTACTCAGAGAACTTCATCGGAAACATAAACTTCCTTTTTAGAGGATTAGACTGCTCTATGGACCAGATATGAAGTGGTTGACAGCCGGCTGAACGTGAGCCAGCAGTGTGCCCAGGTGGCCAAGAAGGCCAACGGCATCCTGGCCTGTATCAGGAATGGTGTGGCCAGCAGGACCAGGGCAGTGATCATCTCCCTGTACTCGGCACTGGTGAGGCCGCACCTCGAGTGCTGTGTTCAGTTCTCGGCCCCTCGCCACAAGAAAGACCTTGAGGTGCTGGAGCGAGTCCAGAGAAGGGCAACGAAGGTGGTGAAGGGTCTGGAGCACAAGTCTGATGAGGAGCGGCTGAGGGAGCTGGGGGGGTTTGGTCTGGAGAAGAGGGGCATGAGGGGAGACCTGATGGCTCTCTACAACTGCCTGAAAGGAGGGGGTAGCCAGGTGGGGGTCGGTCTCTTCTCCCAGGCAGCTCGTGACAGGACAGGAGGGCACAGTCTGAAACTGCACCAGGGGAAGTTCAGAATGAGACCTTTCTTCACAGAAAGGGTCATTAGGCATTGGGATGGGCTGCCCAGGGAGGTGGTGGAGTCCCCAACCCTGGAGGTGTTTAAGAAAAGACTGGACGTGGCACTTAGTGCCATGGTCTAGTTGACATGGGGGCGTTAGGGCAAAGGTTGGACTCGATGATCCCAGAGGTTTGTTCCCACCAAATCGATTCTGTGGTTCTGTGGAGAGTATCTTTACTTGCAGCAGCACTGCCCCTGTAGCTGTCCTGCTGGCACAGAGCGTTTTTGGGGCATTGTGTTGATAGCTGCTATTCCCTTCTGGACTTTTTTTTTTTGTTAGTAAAATCTATGCACACATTGTAATCTGACCTAGTATCTGCCCTTGGTCTCTTCTATTTACTTTCACTTTTTTCTTTTTCTTTTCTGTATAAATTAGTCTGGGAGTTTTACTTCTGCTTAGTTTGCGTTTTAAGTGACAGAGTCTCCCCTGGAAGTTTGCTTTTGGAGCTGCTGCTGTGGCCTGCAGATGAAAACAAATGATCTGCTGTCATTGCCCAGAGAATTAAAAAAAAAAGGTACAAATAGTGAAAATATACATCGCATTTTTTTTTTGAGGGGGGAATTATTTAAACACCTGAGCTTTAATTTCTTCCTGTGCACCAAAGAAAAAAGACATGTATGTACTTGTGTAGGATTTGGTGTTTCTCCCTCTCTCTTTCTTTAGATTTGCCTTTTATGGCTGGGGTGGAAAAGCTGAAGGCTGGTGCTCCTCCAGTTTGGCCAGCCTGTTCCTCTGTGACTTGAGGAGCAGGAGGAAGCAACGTTCCAGTTGCTGCCATCCCTCCAGTGTTAGTGCTGAGCCCTGGGGTCGGCTGGGCTGCGGGAGCTGGGGGAGGTGGCAAGAGGTTGCCCCTGGAGCTTGCCCTGGCAGTGGGCTGGTGGGTCACAGCCTGCTGCTCCTTCCCCTCCAGCCCACCGGACATTGCATCTTGGGGTAGGGATGTTTATACAAGATTTACACAAGCAGAAGTCAGAGTTAACTCTTGCTGAAACTAGCTCAGGAGCCTTATAAACAAGGAAAAAATGTATCACTCTGATCTAAGAATATTCAAGGACATTCAGTTAGCTATTGAATTTTAAAATTTTTTTATAAGAGGAAATCTCACTCTTTATTTCCAATCTGAGATAAAAGCCCAACTGTGGTAGCTGCTGGAACTGAAAGGCAGTCTTTCTCTTCAGCCGGTGGGGAGGTCGGAGGTTGAACAGCACAGGCAACATAGATATTAAGGCCATCTGTTCTGTTTGATACCCCCTCATTTGAATAGCACTGAACTTGGTTTTTCTACTGCTGTTTTTTAGGCAGTACAATGTGTTTCCTCTAGATGGTGGTAGGTACTTAAAAATTACATGTGCGGCATCTGCGTGATCCCTTCCATAGTCCAGCTGTCTGTACGGATCTGTAAACATATGAGTGTTAATGGAGTTTTACTAGATGCAGGAATTGTCCTCGGAGAGATTTTTGGCTTATATGACTGATGACAGAATGAGCAATAATAAAATTCAAGGAGCTTATTCCATAGTCCACTTTTTCAGTGAGAAGAGCATTGGATTTCATCAAGTTTATTCAGCAAGTAGGAAATAACACAGAATATCCCGATGCCTGATTTGCATCGATGCATTACAGTTTAGTAAGATGTGCTCATGTGAAGGCAAAATGAAATGAAAATATTTTGGAATTTTCAAGGTGATACTGCTTTAAAATTACGGTTAATAGAGCTTATGTAAATCTCCCATACAGCTTAGAAAAACCTCATGTACATGTTTTATAAATTTATATTGGCACTGTGTCTTTTTATAGACCCTTTAAACGTGAAGAACCCAAGTGGTATGTAAAAGTGTAAGTGACTTACCTCTTACAGGAACCCCAGTCAAGCAGACAAAGGCTAAATCAAGGTAACTTTTCCCACCACTAGTACTTGAAAGTTTCTATAGTGTTACAGAATAGCTACTTAATATCAGTTTAGTTTAGTAAATGAACAACTGCTGTCTAATAGGTTAAAAAACCTAATACTGAACACTCAATAAATTTTCGGGAATATTCAGTTGTATTTGTGTTCCAAAACATTTCTGTGGGGTCTTTAATAACCCGAAGTATGAATTACATATACTTAATTTTTGCAGTTATATGTTTTATGCAAATGAACTTTATCAGCCAGGAAGAAATCAATTTCAGGAGAGCTATTCTCATTTACAGAACTTAAGTACCACACTGGAGCCCTACTCTTCAGGCTCCTGCCCTCAGTGTGATTTGAAAAGGAGTGTCTGCATAGGTACCATAGGGGCAAAAGGGCACCGCTCTGAACAACGCTGTTATTTTGGAAGCTGATGGCATTTCCTCAGGAGCCAAATACGTCCCTGTGGATACAGGAGCTAATTCTGCAGAAAGTCATCTGCTCAGTTCCTCCCTGGAGGCTGGCTCTGCTCTGTGCCACTGATCCCTTCTGCTTTTACCAGTTGATTTCTGCTGTGCCTGTACTGGGAAGGTAAGGACGAGGCGTGCAAGCCCAGTCCCTGCACCTGGTCCTCTGCTCTGAGCTGCAGTGGTCTCTCCGCAGCCCTTCTCAGTGCATCGCCTCTGAGAGACAGACGTGAAATACGGGTGCTTTTTCCCAATTCTGTGCTGCTAGTGGTAACCTCAGAGCCAAAACACTAGCTATAGCGAAATGAGGACTGAAGATGAGAAAATAATTGAGGCTGGAGTGAGAAACTGGTGGAAACTGGAGGGAAGTGGAAGAACAGTTGGTGAGCTGTTCTCAGCCCCAGTTAAAGTCTAGCTTTGAGATAAGCTTCTCAATATATGACAGGTGTGATATCACCAGCTCCTTAGAAATGCAGGAAGGAAAGAGAAACCTTTTCCTGCCTCTTGTCAATGAGGTAATGAATGTATATGTGTGAAAGAAAGTTTGGGGAATTTCTGCTGCTCTCTCCCCGGGTCTCTCTGCTGCTTCCCTGCCATCCTTTTTGACTAGCTGTTGCTCGACGTTTTTGCTGTGAAGCTGGTTCTTTGCCTGCCCGTGAGGTTTTTAAAGAGAAATAGTGGAAAGTGCTGTTCTTTGGTAGCTGAAAAGAGCAACAGCTTCTTCAGGCAAAGGGAGCCCTGGCTGCACGGACTAGCCATAACTTGCGTTAGTGTTGGTCACAAAGGGTAGACTGCACATGTATTTTTAATCAAATCTGGTGTTATCTGATTGCTAATGGCACTTATCTAAAAAGCTTCCTGCTTGCCACAGCTGATTAACCAAGTCTTACCTTAATATCTAGCTATAGCATCACCTCTACGCATTTGTAAAATTTGTATACGTGACATGCAGCAGATGAACAAATCCAGGAATCACTGACGTGGTTCCTGGTTAAAAAGTGGGAGATATTTTTCTCTGCTATTTCAGAATATTTTCCTTTACAGTGTGTCAGGGATGTCTCTTAACATCATTGTTAATCAATGGGTTATTAACCCCTTACCCCACCTTTCTCCTTCAGCACCTAACTTTGCAGCCATCCATAGGTGGTGTGTAGCTTTGTCAAAGCCAGGAGTGGTGACACTGCTCAGGCGGAAAGTGCACAAGACGCGTGTACCCCTTTTGGTAGCAGGTGAGAGATCCACAGAAAATAAATGGAGAGTTTTTAGTCTGTTAGAAAGGACATTTTATGGGGAAATACACTGAAAGGCTTGAAAGGCTTGAATCAACACCCTTCCCTCCCACCAGAGCCAATTTTAAACCAATTTCCTTCTTTTGACATACCTGTTTTTTTCCCTCTGCTGTGTTCAGCATCACAAATAACTTGTGTGGTATTTCTTGTAAAATTATTGGCTGGATTTTCCATGTGCTACTGCTTTTGCACTTTTCATTGCAGGGGTGCTTTCCTAGCTTGCTGCTTGACTCAGAAGTTTGTGCTGGAAACAGTTAAATGCAGGTGTGCTGGAGCTGGAATGAGTTGGCTGAGATGAAACGATGAGAATAGAGTGTATAAAATAACCACAGAGCTTCCTGTCCGTAAGCCTCTCGGCACATGTCAAAATAGAAGTGAGAGATATCGGTATTTCTGTAACGTGTCTGAAAGTTCATCAGGAATTTTTTTGAAGACTGGCAGAGGTTTTCCTGCAATTTTTAAGCTTTCCTGAGCATCTGAGACTTGAGGGGGAAAAAAGAACCTTTTTTTTTTTTTTTTTCCCCCCTCTCCTGACTGCTCAGCAAAGGGAAGGTTTGCAGCGAGAGCCCCTTACCTGAGTGCTCAGGCTAGGGTGAGCAGCGGCTGCACTTTGAAATTTGCCATTTCCTATTATTATTGAAAGGATGGAGGCTTGGCACGGGGTAACCTGATATACCCTGTTGTTACAGGGAAGGATCCTGATCCGGTGTTTCCCATCTATAACCATTACAACGACTGTATGAGAGGGCCAGGCCCGGTGCCGTCACAACAGGGAGAGCTGCGTAATTACCGGCGATCCCAGCCAGCACTTGCGCAGCGCTTTAGGAATTGGGTTGTGTGGCCAAAAGACTTAGTAAGAGGGAGGGTAGCGGCATTGGAGGGGTAAAGGAAGAGACTTAGGGTCTGGCAGCAGTTGCCTGGAGGGAAGAAGGCTTGGGGGAGTTATAATTATGTCGATCATTTGGGGTTGAAGGATGTTTGCAGAATCTGCTGGACCCATTTTGTGGAAAATACAAGCTTGCAATTGCTGCCCCGCAGCTACCCCAGGCTCTGTTATTTCAGCGGCTCATCTCTGCTGGTGCCGTTACAGGAGGCTGGAGAGGAAGCCGGCGGTGGGAACCTGGGAATAAGCTACCTGAAGGCAAAATTTCTGTCTCACGGTGCTCTCTCGGTTGGGTAGTACTTGGAAACGGATGGGTTCAGATAGGTTCTCCAGCTCAGAAATGCAGCTTGTAACTGTGGGTGATGCGGGGTGATGTGAATGTGTAGTACATACAACCGGGTAATCTCTTGGTAGTTGTATAAAAAGCTTGGTGCTTGTAAACCGGTGTTAAACTTTCATAAAACTCCAATGGCTTGCTGCCGGGAAAGGGCAGGCAATGCATTGCCCAAACTGCTTTGCTTGATCCTTTGGGCGCAAGGAGCTGTCAGAAATAGCTGCTTTGCAAATCGTTTGCAAATGTAATGCCAGGTAGATCTTGGAAAATGAGTATGTCTGCAGTGGTTCCTGGGGAAGGAGGCTGAGGATTTTGGGGTTTTGGCTTTCTTTTAAAGACTACTAAAAATAAGAAGGATTTCCTAGAAATCAGAAATGAGATCATTAGTGCGGGTATTAATGCCAAGCATGGAACTCTCACAGTGGTCTTTTTTCCAGCAGAATTTTCAATAGGCTTATGGTAAGCAGTTTCTTATTTACATTTTCTTCTTTAGCAAAAGAAACATGAAATTATGTAAAAGCGTTACCTCTTAAAAATGAAAAGATAAAAAAATTTCATCTGAAATAGAAGTTAGAGGAAGCTATGCATACAGTAAAATAGAACAAATACAGCTATCTGATACTTTATTAAATGTCACAGAGATCTAGAAATCCTTCAGGAATTAAATGTTTTTAGCAACTTCAAGCATGTCAGGTCAAACTGGCACAGCTACTCAGATTCTCAAGTTTGAAATGTTAGTATGAATCCATAGGGAATTTGAGTTAGCTGGTAAATAAAGATTTCTCCCACTTCTGTGCATTTGACATCTGTATGTTTTAGATGTGATGCCTAATTTTTCTGTTAATGCTCCTAAAACTGTGTGTTTCAAAATGTGGACTAATTCTCTCCCAAAAAAGGGAATCAAAGTTAACAAAACAGAAAATCCAAAAAAGTCAGGAATGAGTGAGTTCATGGAAAATCTGTGTGGTATTTCGCAGCTTGGTAGGATTATAGCATAAGTGTGAAGTGGAACAATTAGTGATTTATACAGTGACCTCACTGGACATGTGTACGTACAAATGGGGTACAGTTACAACAACCTGAATAAACAATATTAATATTAAAATTTTCTACGTTGGAAAGATAAATAAGTGTTAGGACATCTTATTTAAGTAGCTATTAATTTCTATGAAATGTACTTTTATTTTTTTAAGTTCTTCTTCCATGTTAACTTTGATTCTTCATTTTGCACTGTAATTTATTTATGTATATCTGTTTATTATCTCTAAGTGCTAGAGACATACATGGAACTGGAGAACTTTAATCCTTCATTCTAGGAAAAAAAAAAAGCAAAAATTTTTTAACTTCATCTTTACTTTAGCTCACATGTGATGCTTAGTGCTATTATCTTTTTTTTAAACTAGGAACGACAGCGGCTGGAGACAATCCTCAACTTGTGTGCAGAATACTCCAAACCTGACAGCGACCCCGCTGCAGCTACAACAGTTGCTGATGTTCAAAAAATTAACAAAGAACTCGAAAAACTTCAGCTCTCCGATGAGGACTCTGTGTTTGAAGACTCCCAGATGAGTCTGGAAACGAGGTTCAGAAGCCACTTGAAATCATCTGCAAGCGATTCGGATTTCTCGGAGCTGAGCAACCACAGTCACGGCACTGCTGGTTTTCTCTCCTCTCGAGGGTTGAGAGCTGATGAGCACTTCAACGAAAGCACCAAGCCTCCACCTTTTGCTGCTCCCGGCTTCCTAAAGGATGCCACCGAATCCTCCTACCTAAGCATCACACCAAAGGTAACGCTCTGTATGAGGAAAGAGTACAATCCAAGTTCGACCGCTTGAAATCCTTCTCTAGGAGTTGGCTGTCCTGGCAGGGGCCATGGTTAGGATGGCTTAGGTGTGAGAATTCATCTCAGAGCTCATACAGCTTAGCAGCCAGCAAATTATTATTTCATTTTCTGTAGAAGCTATCGGTACTGAAAGTTTTGGGTTTTTTTTTCAGAGGGATGTACAGTTCAGGAAAAGTTTTAAGATTTTCTGAGGGAGAAGGATTTGCTTGAACAATTATAGCTACTTAAATAAGGAAGGTTTTACCCTGCACCATGCTGGGATGTAGGAGGGAAGGGAAGCTCTTCTGTCTTCTCCCAGCCTGAGGCTCCTGTCTTCTCTAAGAGGATGTTTCCTTGTGGGCAAACCAGAACAGTAGCATGGGAGGTGAAGAGGAGTTGCCAGAGCTGAATTTACTGTCCTGTCTCCTTTCCCGGGGTTGGACCTGAGCCACTTCTCAAATCAGCTGTTGCCTCTCATGGGGTGCAGGGCAGCAGCCAGCATCCTGCCTCTCTAACCCAGGTCCTGCATTGAATAAGCTGCGGCTCCTTTCCTGTGTACTTCACACTGCTGTTTCATTACTGAAAGGAAATTGTCCTTTAAAAACCAAGCTAACAGCATTCCTAATGATTTCCTTCAGCTAGGGCAGCAGCAGCCTCCTCCAGGCTGGGACAGGGACCTTTCGTGGCCTTGGGTCAGTGCCTTAGGCTCTGGCATGCCAGACCCGCAGTGCAGCAAGTCCTGGTGACAGGCAGTGTCTTAAGTAACTATATTCAAGAGTTAAAATCGGGAGCATCATAAGACCAAGCAAAGCCATCAAAGCAGGTTTCTGTTTAACAAATTCACACCTTTAAAATACTTTGTGTCTCTCCTTTTTACTGTACTTACATACTGTATGAGCTTCAGCATGGTTATGTGCCGAACATGAATTGTATTTAACCTCTGCTTAACTTCATCACATCTTTACAGTCAATAGAAGTGTGTACATGTAGAAGAGAGAGGTGTGCTAGAAAAACATATTATCTTATAAAGGGATATCTCTCTGGAAGTCTTTGTGCCAAGTCTTTCTGTGTGAAATTATGTTGAACAGAAACGTGCTATTATGGCTTTACCTGGTCTTTCAATGTTGGAAAGGTAGTAAGGCATTCCACTTACAAGTTGCTGCAGTCTTGCATTTCTTTCCCATTTGTTGCTTTCTTCGTGCAAGTCAGAGATCCTCTTTTAAATCCTTATTAGGAAGTTGAAATCGAAGATGTTATGTCAGCATTATCCGAACAGGATACCGGACAAAAAGAGGCTTTCCTGCTAGGATTACTAATACTAATCAAGGAATACCATTCATTCATTCATTGTGAAGGGTGTTCTGCTAAGCCCTGAGAAAAGCAATAACAAGCAACTGTGTTAATGAAACACAGCTCATAGTTTTAAAATATTGAGAGCAGATTTGTTCAGGATAAAATGCCTGCTCTTAGAATAGCCGTTCAGTAGCCGAGCCGAGCCTCTTTCAAGCAAGGCTGTGTGGTCCAGTGGTTAACGCGAAGCCCTGCACGCAGCCCGCTTCTAATTCTGACTGGGGACAATGAGCGAGCAGCCTTACCAGAGTAATTGGATCGCAGGCCCCTGCGGTCAGATGAACATGAAGAATACATCTGAAACTTAATATGCTTTGATCTAACCTCGGCTGGTATAAGATTGCAGGTATTTTCTTAATAATGTTGTTTAATTCTTGGCAAGGTTATCCGGTAAGTAAATGGCAATGAAAAGGGCGATGTTAAGGGTACTACTGCCTCAGTGCTAACTGGAAAGACAGAACCAACTTTCGTCCTTATTTTACAGAAGCTGCCCATCTTAATGGCTGGTTACAAAAATGCCCTATCTTACCTTCTGGCTGTTATTAGATGAACAGCTGAAATTTATATAAAAAACATCTTCATCTATCTTTGTTATTTTTGTAAGGGAAAAATTGGATTTTTACAATGTAAATAGCACAACACATTATGTATTCTTAAAAGTTAGGTTTTCATAATTCCTGTAGAATGAACAGTATTTACTGTTAAGTATAGTATTTACTTCCAATGCCTGGAAGTAAAGTATCATGTTTGTTTCCCTTGTATACCTTCTAAATATAGAAATAGCAATATAGTAGATATGAAATATGTATCGGGTTCAAAACCAGCAGTACCATACTTGTCTAAAATGAACACAATATGAAAAGGGGAATGAAAGACAGTGTTTAACTCTTTTCTAATGAACCTCTTGTAACGTGCAACTGCAGGTACCAGAATGCACAAGCGACGAGCAAAGAGGGCAGGAGCTTGGTCGACTGGAGGAGGAGCGCATAGTAATACTGAATAACTTGGAAGAACTTGAGCAGAAGATCAAAGATTTAAATGACCAGATGGATGAATCTTCAAGAGAGGTATGAAATATGTTTTGGTTTTAAATGTCTTGTCTGTTAGGTATGTCTACATAGCATAAGTCTGATGGGTTCAGCAAGTACATATGAAACAGGAAACTCATGGATGTATGTAGCCTTCATATTTTGTGCTTTTTCACCAGGATTAGGCACAGAATCATGAACCTGGCGGTCCCTGACCTTGAAGGTTATTTTTCCCCAGCTGGGAGATGGATTTGATGCTCGGATTAGCCTTTCCCAGCTGTAACCATTATACTCCTAAGTGGAATCAGAACAATCTTGCTTTTTAATGGTCACTCAATTGATCTAAATACCTTGTGTCACTTGGGAGTTTTATGGTGGTATCTCCTGTGACCATGTAAAGAGAAAGGAAGTGAGACAGCTTCCTTTCCAACCTCCTTGGCTTTACGGTGGCAATGGTATGTTGGCACCCTCTTGACTTCTGGAATCTCGCAGTTGCAGACTCAGCTGGCCAGGCATTTGGGTTGTGCTTGCTCCAATTATCAGCAACAGGAAAGAAACAGCTGTTCCAGAGGGTTTCCTATGGACCCTGAGCACAGAGAGTTGGTACAGTGTCATAGCAGGAGGAAGCACAGAGAAGAGAGAGAAAAGAAAAAGTTTTGGAAAAAAGAATCTTCAAACTAAAGTTGGTTTGGACTTTATTTTGCAGTATTTTATGTTGCAGTTTTACTTCTCAGATTTGTGATCTCTTTTTAACTTACTTTTGTGGCAGTAAAACTTATTTCCTCTGCTTCTTTTTACAATGTTTCTCTCTTGTGAATGATCAAGAACTCACTCCCCTTCCCCCAGAAAATAATGTGTATCGAGATTTCTTCTTAATCTGGACTGCTTCTGAAAAATGTTTTGTGTTCCTAGTTGGATATGGAATGTGCCCTTTTGGATGGGGAACAGAAATCTGAAACAACAGAGCTCCTGAAAGAGAAGGAAATATTGGATCATCTAAACAGAAAAATAGCTGAGCTGGAGAGAAATGTTATTGGTGAAAAGACAAAGGTAATTGAGTTATCTTAGCTGTGTGCTCTGTTCCCCTTGATCTTCCAAATATATTTATATGATTAACGTATTGATGGAGGTTATTTTACGCAGTACTGTCTATAAGTAAATTTACTTGATAAGTATGGAAGAAAAAAATAGTTGTCTCACCATCATGTCCCTGTAGCAATCTTGTTTCCCAAGGTATGCTTGACAAGCAAAATATAGTACACTTAAGTAAAAAGATCTGACCTACTGTGAAGATATTTTTGATTAATAAAAAAAATCATATAGGGCTTGGACTTGGGTCATCTGTTGTTTAAAAGAACAGCATTAATTGAACTGTTCCGCTGCCTTCCATTGTAGGTTATGTATTTTGAATTAAAAAAAATAATAATAAATCCTTTCTCAGCAAAGGAACAGAATGAAAGAAGGCTGCAGTTTCAGAAGATGGCTTTATCTATTATTATGTAGAATGATATATAAGACATCTATCAAGTACGTAATTTTAAAGCAATTATGTTGCTTTATTTTGTTTGCTGACTGACAATTTTAGTACTGTAGAACATTCTCTCTGTGATTAAGTCCCAGGAATTAATTAGTTCTCCTATACAGTCAGAGATTTAATTGCTGTCAAATATGCAGCAAATAATATATTTGCAAAATAGGATAGCACTATAAAAAGATTTTAAGTACAGAAATGGGAAGGGCCTGCAAGATAAAGCTGTGCCCCTCAAACTGGGGAGCACTGGCCTCTCCAGACGGGCAGTTCCCTTCTCCAGCAGGGATGTGCCACGGCCAATAACATCTCAAGGTCAGGAAGTTTTTCCAGGGCTTTTAGCCAGTAAAGTTTACTTTTTAAATTTCATCCTCTACCTCATAATTTAAAGCTGTCACTTGTGGAAATACTCTAGCTAGTCTCTCCCTCTCTTTTTTTTAAGCTTTCCAGAAATATTTGGAAGTTTTCTGGATTATTTGCTTTTGCTTAGACAAGCTGCACATTTTTAGCTCTTTCACAGTTCCGATTTAATTCACGCCTTACAGCTTGCATTGTTTTATGCTGAGCTTTTTGTCTTCAGTTTCTGCCTAGTCTGTCATGAGCCTGGATGCTGTTTTGCAGCTGTACTCATCAAGCCTGTGTCTGAGAAGGAGGATGCTGCTCCCACCTTTCTGCTCTGCGCAGTGAGAGCACACATCCAGTTTAAGCTCAAACTTTCAGGGACTTTCCTACCTGCACTTTTCCTTGTTCTTGCATGTACCCCTCAGTGATCCTTCAGCTTTCAGTGTTGCCTCTGGTCACGTTTTAAGTTGTCCATGGAATGTGTTTTATACTTGCTTTTTAGTATAAAGATGAGTTTAAAGTTGGTACAGCAGATAGGGTGGTGCAAGCAGATACCCCCAAAAGGGTGCTGCTAGAAGTTTTGGTCGGTAGGTGATAACAGCTAACATATCCAGAAAATCAAGAGATCTTTTGCGTTTTATATTTGTTCTCTACTAGCCTCAAAGTTCAATGAAACTAATGGAAGTTATTCTAAAACCTGTAGGTTGTTTAAATTTCCTTGCAATCATATGATGGAACATTAATGTGTAGCAGTCGGAAAATTAAAATGCCAGGTCTAGTTTAAATTTTCAGTTGAACTGAAACATGGAAAGCAGCCCAGAAAAAGCACTTTTGTTATTTAAAAGGCAAATTAGCTCAAAATATTTTTTTCAGTATGAAGCAGCCACTAGTCAGATCAGTTACAATATTTTAGTTGTCTTTTGTGTTACTTTTTTTTTTTCTAAACAAACAAACAAAAACCCCAGCTGTGACTGCCTGCTCTAGACTTAAAACCATGGCTCAGTTAATACTGACATTATCTTTATAGAAATAAACTCATAAGAGAGCATGCAGGTTTTGTTCTGGAAGATGTCTGAAAGCCTTGCATAGAAGTGAAAGTTTAAAAAACAAATGGGAGACAAGCTTCTGTGAATGGGCAAAATATAAAGTGACAGCTGAAGTTTGCTGGCTGACACTGTGTTCTCCAGAACAACAGATGGCACTGATCATGTCAACAAATAAAAGCTCTGGCTGACTTGAAACAACAACATTTTTTAAAGCTTGATTTGTGTGTTTGTACATTTAAGGTTGGAGCTCTGCAGATCTGATGCAAGATAGGCAACATCTTGGCTCTGTAGTAGTACAGGATTGACCCCCCCCGAAAAGGGGTGCTCAGGTGGAGGTGGTAGGTGGTCCTTTTTTGCTGAAATAATTTGAAGCTTATGACCTCTTGAACAGAATTAAGGCTCAGATTTTGGCCAGTAGTTGCCACCCTGCTGATGGTACTTCTTGTGTTTCTTGCAAGAACAACTGTCCCAGTGTCCACACAGTGGTCCCAGTTTCTTCTGATTGCCTGAATATTTCACCCCTAATAATACCAGTGACCTTAATTTTGCTGGGCTTCCTGGCCAGAAGCTGTCAGGTCGCATCGCTTGGACATTGCTTACATTTCTGTCAGGGTCAGGGAGTGATATCTGAATACACCTCATGGTGTCGTCTTGAGAGGGAGAGTTAATACTGCTGACGAAACGACGGTGGGGTGTTAGTGCCGTACATGATGGCACTTGTCTCTGGAGCGACTTATCTCCTGGAATTTGCCACTGATCTCGGCACCTGTTTGACAGGAAACCCCTGCCTGGTTGTGTTTCAGCCTTACCCATGCACCTGTTTGAAAAACTTGTGAAATTCTTAAAAAGAGAGATCATAAACTACAACCTAATTATTGGGCCATGTTATGTACTTGAAATAGACTGTAGTGGCAGCTTTTGTACTACTTTCTACTGACTTCTTTGATATTTTTTTTTTTTCTTAATGCCCTGTGCCCAATTCATTTAGACAAAGACACAAAGTTTTTGCCAACTTTTGCGCCATTTTAAAGCCACAGTTTCAAGCCTTTGCGAGGCAAGAGAATCAACTGGAAAACACACTTGAAGGCAAAAGAGTTGTGAGTTCAGCTTTCGGGCTGTGCCAGTGTGCTCTTTGCTGTGGTACAATGTCTTTGTGTCCCAGCACCTTGCTTGTAAATCAGGAGCAGATTTTGCAGGCGGGTTTGTAACTTCTATGGTACGCTGCGTCCTGATCGTGCTTGATTCCTGTGCTCAGCCCTACCTGAACATGAGGCAGGACTAATAGCGAGGAAGAACAAATGAATCAGTGGGGAAGATAATGTAGCGCGCATGCCCTGTGGTGAGTTGAAAGCGTTTCCGTTGTTTTTGTGAGCATGCTGGCACATACATCCTAACAAATGAAGCAATTAGTGTTGATTTACTTAGGTTTTGGAAATAAGAGCTATGAGCAGTTTTGAAAAGAAGATGACAGAGCCTTTCAGCATCGTTGTAGGAGTAGTTCTGGCTGTGGTGCATCTCTGCCAGGTACAAGTGCTGTCAGGACTCGGTTGTCCTGGCTGGGGTAGCCACTTCCAGAGCTGTTTGACATGGCCTGTGTTTCCAGCTGTGCTGGAAGTCATGCTGGTGTATGGAGGAAGGTCTGGCTTTGCCTCCATGGCCATGCTTTTTCAGCACAGCTTACAATCGTCTCTTTCTTTTTTTTTTTTTCTGTAACTACCATGTGCTACGTATTTGGTTTTATCCACAGAAAAAGATGACCAACTGCCTATTTGAATAGCAGCATTTAAGCTATTAATTGCAACTTCCAGTTATGCAGAGACAGCCCTGATAAGTCACTAGTAACACAATTTGACAAGTACAGCTTGAAGCTCTCCAGGAAAGAGCTTTCCTACAGATACGGACAAAATTACTGTGAGCACAGACTGTTCTGGAGAATGCTGAGCTGGGCGGTACCCAGAAACAAGCAGGCGAGTGAGCCACTCTCCCTTTTCCCTGCCATCCGGGCCCAGCTCTCTGTAATTTCCATGGCAGTCGTTCATGTTACTGTAGTGTAGATGTACAATAATGATGCCATTGTTTGAAGTGGAATAACACCTCAGGTCCACGCTGCTATTTGCAATTACGACTTCCTCCCGATGACCCTTCGCTCACAAGACTTAAGTTCAGGATTGACGTTTGTCTATAAGGAAGCTGGAGAAAATTGTATTTGCCGGATTGGATGTTATCCAGATTTGCAAATGACTTTTCTTTTCGTACAGTGCTTCCTTACTCTGTGTCGTTTTAAAAGAGGTAGTCCAGCATATGTGGAGAAGGATGCTTAATGATTTGCCATGCCTGATGTCTCCAAGTTAAAGCATGAGGTTGAAAGTAACAACATAGCCAGGGAAAGAACGAACAGATCAGCGAGCATGAATAAACAGGAATAACTGAAAATGAGTAATGAATTCAGCAGAAGTGCTGTGGGAGGTAGTTGTAGCTAAATGGGAGTTTTGGCAGAGAGTTTCAAAACAATTATTTATGCAAAAGTTTAGAATGTGTTTTAAGAGAGGAAGGTTATTCCTTTTCTTCTGGAAGACCTTTGGCTTATGTCATGGTGGAAATACGTACTCTGGGACTCTTTTATCAACCTGGGCTTCCTGTCCCTCTTCAAGAGCAGAAATCAGGACCAGCTGGCAGCAGATAACTCATCTTTTTTTGGAATCCATTTAATTTTGTCCTCATGCTTTTGTGGAAATATTTTTCAGTCATTAACAGAATATCCAAGACATGCCAAAACGTTTGAAGCTCGGCCTCTTTGCTGAATTAGTACTGCAAAGACTTGCAAGAATTGAGTCAAGGAAAGAGCAGCTGTCTGATGAGCCACCAGCAATCAAAGTTAAATATACTGGTGGTCTCTCCTCGGTCCTTTCTCTCCTAGATTCAAAACTACTGCTGTTGTTTTTTATCCTGATGAATCTGAAAAATTTATGCCTCATATCATAGCCTTTTAAATCTGTCCTGGTCAGATTCCAGTTGAGCAAGAGGTAAGCAAGTGTTTTAAATGATGAGTTGTTGTGTCTGTAATATTATTAACGTCCTTAAGACATGATACACAAGATTTTGAGGAATACTTGCATCCACTGGATATATCCGCA